AAAAATCCTCACAACTGGACCAATAAGCAAATCATGATGAACGGAGAAAAGATTGAAGTTGTCAAGGATTTCATTTTACTTGGATCCACAATCAATGCCCATGGAAACATCAGTTAAGAAATCAAAAGACAAACTGCATTAGGCAAATCTGCTACAAAAGACCTCTTTAAAGTGTTGAAAAGTAAAGATGTTACTTTGAGGTCTAAGGTGCGCCTGACCCAAGCCATGGTGTTTTCAATCGCCTCATATGCATGTGAAAGCTGGACAATGAATAAGGGAGGAAGACTGAAGAAGAATTGACTCCTTTGAAAAAGGGTAAAAGAAAAAAAATACAAATTAGAAAAAAAAAAGAAAAGAAAAGCCCCCCAGGGATCCCACCAGTGCGACTGCAAAGACTAGGGAAGTGGCTCCCTGGCCACAAAGTACAGCCTGGCCAGAAGGGGTAGAGATGTCACACAGCACCAGGTACTCAGGAGACAGGAAGAGAAAGTAAGTACAGAAAGACGAGAAACTGAGAAATGAAGAAAGACAAAAAGGAAAAAAGAGAGAAAAGAAAACAAACAAACAAAACACAAACACACAAAAGAAAAAAGAAATGCCCCCGGGGATCCCACTGCACAGCTGCACAGACTGGAGAGTTAGCTCTCAAGCCACACAGTCCAGCCTGGCTAGAAGAGGCTCCCAAGCTGAGAAAAGAAAAAGAAAACAAACCAACAGAACAAATCAAAACAAACAAAAGTCCTAGGGATCCCACCAGTGTTTTGGTGCAGGCCCGAAAGCAGTTCCACAGTTGAGTGGTGTTTCACAGCCTTTCCAAAAGAAGCAATGATGGCACATGGAGCCAGGTATTTGAGAGAAAGGAGGGGGAGGTGGCGAGAGGTATGGAAGAAACCAAAAGAAGCAGAAAAAAGTAACACCAGCAACAAACAATTTGCACCTGGGGAACCAGCCACTGTGGGCGGGTGGAATCCAAGCAGCACAGGGCTGAAGCAGGTGCCTCCTGGCCAAGAGACTGTGGTCACAGGAAGCAGAGGAGGCCAAGTGGGGGTGAAGAAGGGTGGGGGTGGGAAAGAATATATCCCTGGTCACCGGTTGTTCTATCTCCTGCTGGGAGCTCCGTGAAGCTGCTTTCCCGTACTCCCTGTTTGTCGATCTCTGACAGGCATCCAAGATGGCGAATCTGTGCTGAGTTAGCTGATAGGGGACCTCTGCACATATCTCTCCTCACTCTCTGTTCTCTGTCAGTTTCTTATTCCATTCAGTGCTTGGCTGTGTTCTTTATCTCTTCATTTGATGCTTAGGGTTCCAGGATTCACGTTTGTCTCTGTTTGACTTCATTTTTTGGATCTTTGCCATGGAGGGATGGCCTGGTGCTTCTGTCTATAGCGCCATGTTGCCCGGAAGTCCTCCTTCCTCTTTTGAACCAGTTGAAGATACAGCAAACAAGGAATTTTTTATTCTCCTATAAGTGGTGTCACTAGGGTTTGTGTCACCCAGTGTGGTAAATCATGGTGTCACTCTCCCACCCATGTAGCTAAAACACCAGATAATTTGACAAAATCAACTATTATAAAAACACTGGCAGCAGCAAAAACAACAGTGTGTGCTTGTAATGCGTGCAGATGAAACCAAGTGATTAGAAGCGTCATTGTAACTGGGCAATAATGATAGCTGTGACTGGAGTGCATTAGAAGATTCAAAAAGTAAATCAGCATAGAGTTTTAGCCTTGTGGATGTATTAATACATGTAAGCAGGGCTTATGAAAAATATTTTTGTTATAACTAACTACTGTGATCTTTTTATAAAAAATAATAAATTTCTGCTGAAACACTGCACAAAAATATTACAAACAGTCATGTTGGTGTCACCCCCTCTGACAGTGTCACTCAGTGTGGTCTGCACCCTCTGCCCCCTCCTGGTGACGCCACTGCTTCTACAGTTTCCAAGAATGCAGTATCCTTCAACAAGTGTAGAATGAGTCTTACTAGGTAAGACATACTGTAACAAAGATCATGTTAGGTAAAGTAGAGGGTCAGCAAAAGTGAGGGAAACCGTCCATGAGATGGATTGACACAATGTCTGCAACTACCGGCTCAAACATACCAAAGATTGTGAGAATGACCAGGCTGTCATACATAAGGTCACTGTGAGCCGGAGCCGACTTGACAGCAACTAACAAGAACAAATAAACATTAAAACGAAAACCAGTTGCTGTGGAGTTTATTTTCTGACTCCTGGCGACCAAATGTGTGTCAGATTAGAACTGTGCTCCATAAGGTTTTCAATGGCTGTGATCTTTCAGAAGTAGATCGACAGGCACCACTGGGTGGATTTGAACTGCCAACCTTTCAATTAGGAATTAAGCACTTAACCATTTGCACTACCCAGGGGCTCTTTAATAAGAATTAGGGATTGAGAATGAAATGACGCATGCCTCCCCAGATAAGCGCAGAGACAGAGGTGTAGTTAATTCAATGAAATATGGAGAGGAATGGGCTCTTGTCGTGGGATGGGCATCACAGAAGGCATCTCTCAAGATAGGACACCTGACCTGGGCCCGTTGCACTACATCACAGTGAAGAGGCTGCACCCACCAATGGTACTGAAGGAAGACGTCCAAGCTGCACTGAAGACATTGGTGAAAAACAAGGCTCCAGGAATTGACGGAATACCAATTGAGATGTATCAACAAACGGATGCAGTGCTGGAAGTGCTCACTCATCTATGCCAAGAAGTTTGGAAGACAGCTACCTGGTCAACAGACTGGAAGAGATCCATATTTGTGTCTATTCCCAAGAAAGGTGATCCAACATATGGAAATTATCAAACA